TTACCATAAAGTAAATAAACTGAAGAAGTACATTACCACAAACTTAACTTTCCGTTCTATTGTTCCAGTTTTGCTCTTCAGTGTATATATATATATTTTCATACATATATATATATTTTCATACATATATATATATTTTCATATATATTTTGTAATTTCAACGATACGATTAATTCCAAAAATTAGTTAAATAACGCAGTGCAATGTAGAGTAACAATATGGAAACCAATGAAGGACAAAATTCTGCAGAATTAAATAAAATAAATTGTTTAGTTCAGTGCGAATAGCTATTGAAAATGCCCTTTTAATTAATTTTATTTTTTTAAGCTAATAAAGTTAGAAAGACGAAGTTCACGGATTGATTGAGTATGTGTTATTAGTCCATAACATTTTCACTACCTACGCGTCTTTATGCACCAAAAATTTTAACCGGTTTTACTTTACAGAATTTTCTCTTTTATTCGAACCCATATTGTATTTCCTTTTTTAAATGAATCGAATCCGAAAAGAATTGATCATATTTCCCCAAATTTCAAAGTCCTTATAAGCCATCGCCAATTTTCTAATCCTGAGCTCTCGAATTTTCACCAAATAGACACTCTAATGTGAGTAAGGCCAAATGAACAAAAATTAAAAAGTAATTATAAGTAATGTGAAAAGGGATCTTTTTGCAAAAATCCGTGACTAGGCAAAATTATCGAGGATCAGTTCACTCATGTACATACATACACCATAATTACATATAATTATAAACGCACCCCCAGGCCCGTCGAGAGGGAGGGTGGAAAGGGATGAGTTCCCCAGGCCGGGTCTTCTTAAGGGGCTAGAAGTATCAGAACTATCATTTGTTAAATTTTTTTTTACAATGTAATTGCTACTTTGTTATAGGCTTTTATTATAAATAATAGAAATATATTCCGATTCATGCTGATTGCTTCTGGCTTTATAAATTAAACAAAAAGATCATATGACCCAAAACGCGTACTGTTACACAGAACAGAACTTTGTGCGTACATATGCAATGCAGTTGACATTTTGGAAGTCAGCCTAATTTTCTGCAGAGCTTGAGTTCGAGCTTACAACTGCTCCAAGATATTGAGGTTTTTCGCGGTTAAGTACACGAAAAACGGCTTTAATGGCCACTTTTGTTTGCTCTTTGCCATTTAGTCCAATTCTTACCCTTCAAAATGCGCCTTCGAGTGGTGCTTTACGACTTTACTTTCAGAAATTATGGCCATTGGAAGATGACGTATTGAGTGAGAATGCATATGCTTGGTTTGGCGATATTAGATTCGAGGACACGGCAGTTAAGTGGCCGTATCTCTTGAAGGAAAAATCGTGTAGCACCATTCGAGAGAGCATTTTAGAAAAATACTTGAAATAATTCTATTCGATTTTTACTATTTAATTAAAGAATCTTCTTTTTCTTTAACTTCAAAGTACGATGTAAAAAATGGTGGCCCTTAAATATAAACAATTAATTTCATATTGTGCTTTTTTACTTTTCATTAATTTAAAGATGTCTCAGGATTAAGTGAATTTTCATGTTTGAGAGAAATTCGTGTTAATATTTATATTGTATGATACCTCAGAATTATGACGAACCAGATATAATCAAAAATATGCGAAACCTGAAAAAAAAATTGTTTCCCTTGGTTTCCTTTTCGGCGATTTGGGCCATATAATTTTAATTTTATAATAATAAAAAAATTATAGTTAGAACATACTTCGTATGGAGGGAAATGACTGGCACTGCCTAAAAACCCAGTCATGTAAGACTTAGACTTGACTTGACTTATCCAAAACAACAACTTCACTTCGAAACTTGGAAAACTATACA